GGCATTTCTCTATCACCTGATTGATAGTATGAATATGGCCTATATTGTTGAGAAGCATCGCACGTTCATTGTCTAAGCAGTCACTTCGACTCACTACCACTGGTGACAAGCTATTTTCTTGAGTGGTTTCAAGCTGGTTCGTGTTATGTTTAATATTTCGATTAGACACACACGCACACATACACACAAAGATTCCTAAATATTTATCATGCCACGTCTTTTTCTTTCTTATCTGAGTTGAGCTACCAAAACAAACAAGAACAGCAAAAACAAAAACAAACTGACGAAGTTCTTACAATTCCCCGTGATCTCATTGCTAATCAAATGTCGTGATGGTCTTGTTTTTATGGTGCTCAAATAGCGATCCGAAGTCGTGGGATCATATCCCGGCCGCACCACCACAGTTCGGTGGAGGCAACGCGCCAAATGCCCACGTACTTCGATTAATGTGCGCTCTCAAGGCGACGAGGTCGTCGAGGCTTATGAAGCCCTCCACCGTGGTGCCCCTTATACTATTTAAATGATTGTTGGGAATGTAAAAAGGCCAACAGTCATTATTCGCCGAATACCGTGCTCGATAATCGCTGGACATCGCGAATCAGTTATTTCGATTCCAGCAAAGTGCACGAGTGGTCACCACACCGAACGTCAGCATCTGCCAGTTCGTAATTCATAACAGTAATTGCTCGTGTTTTACATTGCAGAGAGAGAGAGAGGAAGTAAGGAGAAAGGCAGGTAGCCTAACAGGGCTAAGCCCTGGCAGGCTACCTTGCACTGGGCAAAGGAAGAGAGGAAGGAAAGTTTTAGAGGAGGAGGAAAAAGTCACAGACTGGGTCAACGCGTAACAGTTTCACATCATAAACGATGAAACAGGTTGGTGTCTTTGAAAACACGCAACAGCGCTTTTGTTGCCTTTCGGAAATAGGATGGGCAGTGCCATAGTCCCAATATTTTCTCGACAGTGAAATCACTTCTGTCCAGTTGAAACCCCATATATACCTGTTCGCTGCGGCCGACATTCGAAGACGCGCCACTGCCGTGTGTCTATACTTTATATTACGCAAGCGTCCTTCGTCTTACCTCCTATCCCAGGATTACGGGTGGGTTCTCGACGACTTCGATCGCGGCGTGAACGACGCGAAGTGGAAGACTTTGGCATGGTTGTACACTCGACACACGTGAACACGCACACAAGTTGCACGACCCACTTGCAACGTGGCCCGGTCCCTTGTTATTGTGCATCGTTTTCCACCACATCGACTCAAACAATAACATGGAAGAAAAAGGCTACGCTTATGTGTACGGAAGACAACTGTTTTGGACCATTGTTGTTCCGTTGGACGACGGTCGAACGGCTTTCTACGAAGTGCACTGACAAGCCATTTCTGTTTTTACGAGCGGGTGAAAGCCCATAGGTATATAATATCACGAAAGTAACGTGAAATCGGAGACCCTGGAAAGAGTGCGAATTTGAAGTATATGGAACAGTTCATTTTTCGGTCTGCTCACACACGGTGCCAAACCATCAATATTGGACACGAAATGTTTTCGAAAGAGTCGTAAGGAGCGTTAACGCTTCTTGGATTTTTTTTTTAACAGAAAACGGGCGAATTTCGATCATTACATAGCTGCTTGAATAAATCATTATTGTTAGAGCCGAATGTCCTGAAAGTGTGATATTATTATGAGATCACGTAGGGAAAAGCTCTAGAAATTTCAATTACCTGAAGTTTGGTAACGTGTCCCTAAATCTAAGCACACGGGCCTTCTAGAAAATTTCACCTCCATTGATGTGTGGCCGAAAAGGCCAAGCTGCAGTCTCGTTGCCTTCGGGTCAGCAGTCAGCCGAATTGCATAGCAGGTGATTATTTCGTTCCGGAGTGGATGGCGCGGTGGAGAGAGGTTCACCCCGTTTTCTTGTTCTTTTTATCAAAGTGCAAGCGTGGCTCGCATAAATATGCAATCTAACCAAAACAAAAACTGTTGGTTGAAGTCAGCATTCTGTCCTGTGCCTTCTTGATTTCATGTTACGGTTGTACTGTTATACCTCCAAACTGTTCCTAATAAAGTTTTTAGAGTGAAAGTTACATTTGAAGCGGAAAAACGTGCCAGAGTACTGTATTAACCCGTTCTAATGCCAAAGCTTCATCACTCCACGACTACAGGTTGAAGGAAAAAATATATTCCAAGAGGCGAAACGGTGCTGTAAATCATGTAACGCGAAAAAGAAGAAGAAGAAAGACGACACAGTAAATTTCGTAAAACTTTCACGCCACATCAGCAGCAAACATTCGACTCTCATGGGCTAGACGTCACATAGAAGTAAGTAGTAGCATTCATACGCAGCGAAAGTTTAGAAGTTCGATGACAAATCGCGTAGCGATAGTTTATTGTTGTAAGTACCATTTCAAAATTTAGCCCTTTTAAATTGCGAAATGTTTGTTTCTGGTGCATTCCAAGAGCCAACAAAAGCTTCTCTGTGTAAAGAACCAATATACGAGGTGTTTTTTTAGCAATAGCAAGCTTTATCAGTAATATGTTTTAGGGTTTGACGCCAAAAAACCACCATTTGAATATGAGGCACGCCTACGTGGAAAGCTCCGGAAATTTCGATCATCGGGGGTTGATTTACTGCACCTAAATCTAATCACACAGGCCTCAAGCATTTTCACCTCTATCGAAAATGCAGCCGTCGAAGCCAGAATTCGATCCAATGCTCTGCAGGTAAGCAGCCGAGTGCTTTAGCTATACTAGAACACCGTGGCTGGAGCAATGGAGATTTTCATAGAAGTGCTAATTTTGTAGAACTTCTCCCACACTATCACTGTCGCATAGTATTTCTGGCGAAGCTGGCGTAAATACGCCTAGGCGGAAATACCATGTATTTTCTGTAGGAAGTGACAATATGACATACGTATTATCTTTTTGGAGTTTCCATAAAACGCACGTAACTTGAGAAATACGCACGCAAATTATTGTTTTCACAGTAAGTGACTTTATAAAAAAAGTAATATGACTGAAGCTTGACAATTGTTTTATCGCGTGCCACCCTGTTTTGTAGGAGTTACCAACAGCCGCAAAATCTATATATGTGCCGTGGGCTAAATGAAAGCTGAAGAAGCATTTGAGCCGAGATTAAATTAGCCTTATTGTCTTGTAACCTCAATAGCAGCCTCATTACAAGACAAGATATTTAATAATTTGAGTACCGTATAAAAACTATTAAAGAGGTGCCAAATGGTCGAGGTATTTACCAAAACGCAATTTCATGAAGACAATAATTAATCATTGCCGGCTAATGCGGTATACATCCAGTTGATAAGAAAAACATTGACAGTAGTATGGAAGACAGTGTTAACCTGATAATCGAAGAAAAATTGTGAAGCTAATTGCCTCCGGAGATGCTGGCATATCTCAGTAGTCTACTTGTACGTTTCACGGAACTCTTAGACAATGGCACTCTGCTGACGTTACGCTTCATATTTTCTGAAAGTGGACTGGTGTATTTTGTTCCAGCATAGAGAGTGAATAAAAGCAAAAATAGTCGCTGTCTGACTCGTTCAATGGGTTTGTGTGGACATTTTATTTTTCGATGCCTGCTCTTCTTTTCTTTTTATCTTTTCTGTGATCACTTCAGAGCAGAATAAAGCATATAGAAGTCTGCCTGGTTAACCTCGCTGCCTTTCACATTTATTCCTTTTCTCTCTTTCAGAAGTTTCTGAAGCTATGAACGTAATCAAAATTTCTGAACTTGGGGCGCAAAAAATAAAAACACTGGGTGCACAAACAATGCGGGTATGTGGTCCTTGAACGGTGTAGAACTTGCATGGATTTGTAGTGTCCTCACAAATTCTCCTTCGTCTCTTTCATTCTTCTACACTCTATTTTTCTTTTCCAAGTATATACAGGGTAGCAAACCAGACACCTCCCCGGGTTAACCTCCCTATTTTATTTTTACTTTCTCTTTATAATCAATAATGCCCATAAGTATACATACGTCCCTTAGTAAATAGCATCCACATATTCATGTATTCGTATGTAAACAAGAAGTATTGAACCATCACAAAAGTTCTAGATGACCATTAAAATAAGCAAACGCAACAAAGACGGCTGTTTGCCACTTCTTGTAGCAAATTCGGCGGCAAGACAAGAGGCGGAAAACGAAAGAGAATTGTTTGCGTGCGGAGACCATTGCATCGTTGCACTAAGAGAGAGACATCTAGCTCTTTCTTGCATTGTACATGTGGTGAAGATAGAACAATTGAAACACATGTGACCGCAGCCACAACAATGAACGCCCCAGGTGCACGACCTCAAACTCACAAGTTCAATGGTAGAGATGTGTGCAGTGGGCGAACGTAAATATCTTGTTTACAATGACACGAAAGAGCTGCCATAACAGGAAACCATATCTCTTCAAGTGATGTGATTTATCACATTATAAAACCACTCAGGCGCCAAGTACGTATGCTGAAGAGGAGGAGAGAGCCCAGCAGTTTTATGTATATACAAATATATATGATATCTAACAGACAACAATACCACGGTATGTATAGGGGAAGTTATTAGAACCAATGTAAAGTAAATAAGACGAAAGAAAAGTGCGTGAAAAAATAACTTGCCTACAAACTGTTCTTTTTTTAGCCACTTTTATTTCTTTTTATTTACTTTGCATTGATTCTAATAACTTCCCCCTTACATTCTTGGCATTATTCTCTGTTAGATCTCATTATTGTTTTGTCATAACACGGAAAAACGAGCCCTTAGGTATACACTTCTTTCTCTTATATATATATATATATATATATATATATATATATATATATATATATATATATATATATATATATATATATATATATATATATATATATATATATATATATATATATAGGAAGGTGACGCTGTGTTTGAAGTTTTAAACTAAAGTTCGGGCTTAACGTACTGCTGTAAGCTTGTAAGCTCGAGCCAAAAATAGTGACAAGCAGTGCTATACTCACTGATGTCCAAGAGCAGCTCGTACTCATTCCAGCTTCCTGCCCTGCGACGACGTGGTGGTCTCATCTTGGCTTATAAAGCGAATCCGCGGGAAGACGCTCGCACGTCTAACGAAGCAGTTACAGATGTCAAAGCCGTGCGCGCAATCCAATGAGTAAGGATGCTCACTGCCTTCCCTCTAGCGACACGTGAAACACACTGGCACCTGCATCGAGCGATGTCATGGCTTCTCGGTTTTACAGGAGAACACTCTCGGTGGAAGGTCAAGACACCACAGGCGCATCAATTACGTGATGGCGTTGATGAGCGAACCCTAGGAGATCAGTAAGCGTCAGAGATTCCCGAGTGAGCTGGGAGGTATCCGTAATCCGTCCGAGAACTCAGTTGTTTCTCTAATCAACCGGGCAGCAGGGCACCACGAACCGGACGCTTATCCCACCGCAAGGCCTTCGCAGTCGGGCCAGCCCGCTGTCGAGTACTCGGCTCGTGGAGAGCGCTCAGAATACACACACACAGGTTCAAGTGGGAGGTGTAGATCGATGTTTTTTTACTTTTTTTCACTTCGGAAACAAAGGGTTCTCTCGTTGACCACTCTCAGCCTTCTTTCCACGCGGCCTCGAAACTCGCGACAAGACTCGGCCCCGCTCGGCTCTCAGCGCTGCTCGCTGTTTGGAGGGACTGCGTCCTGCAACGCGGGCGCCCACACGAAAGAGCGACCACGCTCGCTGAGCTGGGCGGCTCGCTCGTTCCACGTCGCTGCCGCTGTTCCGCCCCGAAAAGGAAACGTTGCCACAAGTGACGCCGCCGCTATCGCTGTAGCCGAAGGCGCGAGCCGAGAAACAAGAAGCTCGGCGCGGAGCCCGTTCGGAATACACGTGGTCTCCTTCCTTCCGCAAGCCAGCGTCTTTTTCGCGCTCTCGTTTCTCGCGTCGAGTTTTCGCATTCCTGCAGCCGTGTGGGGCGAGGCTCGAAAGAAGGCTCGGCTTCGTTGCAGAAACGCAACGAGGGAGCGAAACAAACAAAAAGCGTCCTTGTCTCGTTCGATGACTTTCCTTCCTTCGATGTCGGCGGTGAGAGCCGGCGGCTATATCGCTCACGAAGGAACCGCGGGCGCCTTGCGTATCCCGTAGGAGCGGTGACAAGTGCGGTTGGTTAGAACAGGGTTGTGCCTGCTGTGCGGTTAGCTGCCGCGGTTGTAAAGCGAACGTGCTGAAGAAGAACCGCCCATAAGGGGTTGGTCGTTCGTCGGCCTCCGTGGCACCCCGGATGAGAAGAAGCCGACGGACGTGAAGTAACTCGAGCTCTTGTCGCCGGGATGCTGAGGGAGATGCCGGAGTCGCGCTGTGCTGTGATCAGCAGCGCATTGACAAGACTCGGGGAGGGAAAGAACGAGAGAGAGAGAGAGAAAGAAAGAGAGAGAGTATTTGTGTGTATATTTGTCTGTATACATCGCCCAGAAGGAAGCCATTCGTTCTCTCTAGGACAACTGATAGAGTCGCTGCACTCAGCGTCCCCGCTTAACTCAAGATCTAGAGCACCCACGCACGCGACAGCGAACACTGGCTCCAGTTTAAGAGGAGCCGCGCGCGCGCCTCTTCGAGAGAAAACGATCAGCATCGTTTATTAATATCGACGATGATCTTACGCAAATGCTGCACACTGGTGTTGTGCGCTTGTTCAATGCCGGCCCACTCGAATGAACCATTTAAAGCGGCCTTCGGGAGAGCGCCTTATTAAGAGCCAAGCCACCAATGACAAAAGTGGCACGAAAAAAAAGAATATATAATATATATTATTATATATATATATATATATATTAATATATATATATATATATATATATATATATATATATATATATTATATATCTATATATATATAACTATATATATGTGTGTGTGTGTGTGTGTGTGTTTCGCGTTGCAAAGGAAGCCTATAGCAGCACTATAGCAGTGCGCTCGTGGTCCGGCTTTTTTTTTCACATTTCTCGAGCTTTCTTTACAACATGGAAAAAATAACAGCGCGAGACGTATCGTACAGGAAACAATATAGCCAGGGGTTTCTGAAAGTGCTCTACATATCAGTTTTCATATTTTGGGTTTCCAGTCCTTAATTAAAAAAAGGCAATTGACAAGTATTATAAATAATATGGGAAAAAATAAAAAAATAGCCTGAGTACCTACAGGCTATTGCGAGTAGTATGCATTTGGTTCAATTCGCCTCCTAAGTGCCTTTCAATTTTAAATTCTCGGCTCAAGTTATGTGGGAAACACCCTGTATAATCTTTCGCTTTATCACTAGATTGTCTTGTTAGTGTTCACGGGACTGGGAAGATATTCTTGCTGTGGGCGATCGGCTCATCCTGGCCTGTGGGAGAATTCCATAAGTTTTAAATCGTCCTCGAGATAAGAAATTTTGGCGATAGGGTGAGAGATGGCATCGTCAACTCAAGGTTAGAGTGGTCGCCGTTTAACGGCGTTCTGAAACTTTCTTCTTATATTATGGAAAGTTTCAGTTATCGCGCGACTAGAAAACTTATTGCTGTTGACAAGCTAGTACGTCTGGTCAATATTTGCTATGCGGAGTCGTTTGCGCTTTATATATGTACGCTGAGCCTAAGCTTCGAAAGCTGGTACATGCACACAGTGTGGTATCGTTGGGTCATTATGTGATTTTAATTATGAGAAAGTGCGGATATATCACATATGGAGATGTCAAAACAGCGGGTATTGACTTCAAACATTGGCGGAGGCTCTTCTGCGTTGCAATAAGTTGCGTGCTAGAGCTATGGTTGCAGAGGGACACTAAAGAAAACAGATAATTCTTTTAGTATTAGTAAACGATCTTTGCACAAGTACAATCAGCTCCCTTTCGCATACTATCTGAAGGGGGAGGATGCGGCAAATATGTCCTGCAATATTTGGCCCAGTTGCATTGTTCTATAAGTGTAGACGGGCTTATGCCCATGTAGCTTTTGACAATAAGGGCAACCGAGGACCTCTAATGCCAAGAAATGTTTACGTCACACTTTTACCTTTATGAAGCTAGAGACTAATGGCGTGGTGTTATGATGAGAACGTCATCACTTCACTGTGATTTTGGCACTCATCGCGACGTTTGTTTCTTTGAGGCTCGACCAGTGTAAAGATATAAATATAGGGCGTGGGGCTGTGGAATTTCTATTTTTAATAAAGGACTATGCAAGGCTGTGCTGTCGAGAAGAAAGTGCCCAGGAGGTGAACCGGAAAATAAAACTAAATCCTTGTTCAGTTCTAGAGCATTGTTTAACGATATTGTTTCACAAACTGGGACGTAATACTGCTACACGGACATAGTTCAACCCGTCACGATGGCCTTGTAGCTAAATCACTCAGCCACTGACCCGCAGGTCGCGGAATTGAATCCCGGCCACGGCGACCGCATTTTCGACAGAGGCGGAAATGCTTCAGGTCCGTGTGCTTAAATTTAGGTGCACGTTAAAGGACACCACATGGTCGAAATTTCCGGAGCCCTCCATACGGCCTCTCTCATAATCATATGATGGTTTTTGGACGTTAATTCCCAACAATCAATCATCCAATCAATCAATCAAGCAATCAATCAAACATAAATTGACTTTCGAAGTTCGAGAACATCTAGAAATAACGTTTGAAGTGTTCGCGATATTTGTAGCCGACAAGCAACATTCAAAGCCACGCACAGATCACTAACAGCTCGTGCACAAACTTATACTAGCTGCACAACATCAGCGGCCTTGTGCCCGCTATAGCTTCATTGCTCGCCCGAGGTGAGACGAAATACCGCGTATTTCGTCACGCTTCGCTATAGACGTACGAAAGCCGGTTATCCGCAGACACGCTCATAGGCATTGCGGAAGCGAGTGGCCCATTTTTTCTCGATTTGCTTCATGACGTCTTTTTTGCACCAGATAGAACTGAAAAGAACGCAGAAAGATGACACGAGTACAAGCGCACACAAAGTATGCGAGTCGAACAGTTTGCAGCTTGAATGGACGGCATCGCGAGCACGATTTTTATGCGGGGCACAATGCAGAGCGTTATGTGTGACGTACCTTTGTTTCTGGATGGCAATCATGTTACTATGTTTTTGAAATTTCTGTATCCTCTTTTTTACACGGACTAATATTTTGTTTTGAATTTTCTATGCATATGTATAGGAATTTCAATGTTAATTTTTACGTCCTGTTGAAGCACACTGCTAGTGAAGCGCGATATTGTCACTTCCACAGTGGTGGTATTATCACTCCGGCTATTTCCTTTTAGGGGTGAAGCTTTTTATGACGTCACCCGATTGTCCCGTTATCGTAGTAACCACCGCTTGATGAGTCTCCAATCCGGCCATAGATGGCACTCCTTGTACTATAAAACGAATGCATATACGCTGAGAAATGCAAACTCGTCTTACACAAAAGGGTGTTTTGTAACAAACGATAACAATAAAAGGCAAGTTTTATGAAAAGAGTATTTACGTCCCAAGTTACTGGCAATAGATGGCGCTCCTTGTACTATAGAATGATTGCATATACGCAGAGAAATGCAAAATCCTCGCACACAGAGGGCGTTTTGTGGCAAAAGATAAATAACAAAAGGTTACTTTATATAGGATTTACCTCACACGTACGGAAGGAGCGAGAGACCATCCCGCCTCTGCGATCGCGTGTTCTTCGGCAGCGCCGTCTTGGCGTGCGCGCCAACAGAGGCTCGTCGACGAAGGATGGACAGGGCTGCCCAGCAGTGTGCGTGCAGGGCGGCGGCGGCTCACGCTCGAAGAAGACCGGTTTGAGAGTATTCAACATGGATGCCCGCAAGAAGCGAAGCTTGGCTGAGATGTCTATCGTGTTGTGACAAATGAATGAGTAGTGTTATTCTTTCAGGAGAAAAGAGAGTTGCTAACAGGATATTTTTTCAACTACATTATTCCCCACTTGTAGAACTTCTAAACGTGTCTCCCGCCTTTTTTTTTTTTAGAAGCGGCACGTCGCCGGTTGCAGAAGTTGGAATATTTCACCACCATCACGGCTAAGAATCTCGCGTGTTAAGCGACGGCGGCGTCATTTCCCGAACCACCAAAAGTGATTTCTGCATATTTAATCACCTGAGAACAAAGTCTCCGGAAACTAAGTAAACAATGCTCAAGCGTAGATGATGCCGACCAGTCATGCAGCTGTCCGCGAGCCATGGAGGACAGGCCGCGAGCAGACGAAAAGTGTACTGGTTGCCACCGACCCCAAGCTATTCCGCTGAAGTACCGGCTCTCCCCCGCCAGAATCCCGATGTGAGAAACAGGTTGGGTTCATCCGTCCGCGAGCCGCGCGGACGAGTCGCGGACGAGGGGAATCGCTGATGTGAGGTCACGTGACGTGCCGTCCGTCCCGCCACATCGGGATTCGATCCGTCGTCTGAATGCACCATAAAGAAC